TTTCTGGTTTGCATTTGAACTTTGCTATCAGTCCAATTTACTAATTTAAAAAAAAAAAGCCCCATCAGTTTTTATTGCTTCTTTTACTTCCATCTATTCTACAAGCATTCATGAATAGCCTACCATGTGTCAGACCTTAAGTAGATTCCAGAGACAGAGAGCAATATGTGAACCCACGAAGAAGAGACACAGAAACATAAATCCCAAATTGCTATAGACTCATGATGGCCATCAAAGATGAATAAATGCAGTCATTCACAAGAAATCGATAATGTTCAGACCGGTGCCTCACGGCAGAGTTACAGCAGAGAACAATAAAGACAGGTCCCCTGGTCTTCTGGGGTTTGTATGCTTTCTTTTGAGTATGTGGAGTGGGTATGTGAGGTGGGATGTTGTGTGTGTGTGTGTGTGTGTGTGTGTGCACGTGCACACGCACAGTGCATGCATTTGTGTTCACAGGGGCACATGCCCATGAATTTGCATGCAAGAGGCCAGAGAAGGATGCCTTCCTCAATCTGCCTCCAATTTATTTCCTTGAGAAAGCGTCAGTCACTGAACCAGAAGCTATGCCATGGAGCTCCCAGGGTCTGCCTGTGTCTTCTCCCATTGCTGGAGTTTAAGACATTTGTGGTCCTACCCAGCTTTTTTTAGATGAGTGATGGAGATTCAAACTCAAGTCTTCATGTTTGTGCAGCTGGGGCTCTTCCCCACTGAGCCATCTCCCCAGTTTACATTCTAAAGGAAGGAGACAAACAATACTCATCTTAATAAGTGTAGATAGTGATAAGCCCTCTAAAGAAAATTAACAAGCGGATGAATTTCAGAGAGACATGATGAGCCAGCAACTTCAGAAAGGGTGTGCCAGGAAGGCACTTTGGAGAAGGGGATGTTTGAGCCGGTTCTTTAGGAAGGAACCAATTCAAAGACCAGGAGCAGGAAGGGATGGCTGTATTTTCAGAAGAGAAGGGAACAGAGTGAGAAGGAGGAGAGGAAGGAGACGCAGCACACAGTTTGCAGAGGTGGCTTTAATACTAAGTGCGACAGGAAACCACGGAAGAGTTTAAAAGCATGAGAATGACCTAATCTGAATTAAGATTTTGTAAAACCACTCGGGCTGCTGCGTGTGGGATGGGTGGTTAGACATCTGTTGCAATACCCTAGGCAAGAAATCAATGATGGCGTGAATTAAGGCAGTGGCAGCAGAGAAGAGAGTGAACTAGATTGGAGACACATATTTGGGAAGCAGGGCTGGCAAGGGATGTAAACGGTAGGGAGAAGGGACCCACCACCCACCTCACCACCGGGTGAGGGAAAAGGAGAAGACAAGAACAGTGCTTGAATTGGGGGTTTGGGTAACTGGAAGGTGGCAGAGCTGTTTCCAGAGATTAGAAAACTGGAAAGGGACAGATCTGCGTGGGTGGCAATCTCGAGCTGCCTTTTAGACTCGCAAGTTTTTACTGTAAGAAGGTAGATGCAAAGCCGACACTGAATAAACAAACTGGCTGGAATATAAAGCCACGAAGCTGGATTGTGACAGTGGACTGGAGGAGCTACCAAAGAAAGCCAGAGAAAGCATCGTGGGAAATAGTTAGCTGGATGGTAAAGGAAGAATAGGAGTCGGTTTGGAGAAGTAAAGGAGTCTGGGAAACAGAATGACTTGAAGACATGTTCAAATGCCTGGAATCCAGAGTTTGGGATGTAGCTCAATGTAGAGCAGTTGCCTAGCATGCAATGAGGCCCTTGGGTTCCACCCAAAGCACAGGAAGCCTTAGGGTCCCAGAGTCCAGTCACAGGGGAGCCCACTGATTTTATCCTATTATCCTGGGGTCCAGCACACCGTAGATTTTTCATAAATATTTGCTAAGTGGGACGTGTGTTTAACAAGTTGCAGGTGGCTTGGTGAGGCTGGTTGTGGGTGCAGAGATTGTAGAGAAAAAGGATCTGCCAGTGTGGATCAGGCCCTATCTATCACTAAAGGGGCAGATTGCTTGCAGAAGCAGGGGGCAGCATCTCTTGATAATTTCCTACCTGAGGGAGGGGCCTGTTAAGCTCTGCATTTGAAAAGGAAACAGGTAAGAAGGTGAGGGGAGTGAGGACTGGAAGTGTTAGACAGGGAAATGAGAATGAAGATGGGGAGACACCTCAGAGGCAGTGTGGGTAACAAGGCCTGGGAAGGGCTTCCTCGTCTTCAAAAGGCTTCCGAGAATCTTCGCGAGGACAGAGAAACCTGTATGCCAAAATGTGATCTGGGTAGTAGCTGGCATTTCCAGGAACCCCTCGTTTTATAACCAATAAGCCTTTCAATTTCCTGGGGAGGAGCATGCCAATAACCTCTAACAGTAAGTTTGCTTGTGAAATAAACACTGTAGATCTGGGGTGCGGCTTGGGTCTGGATTAAATTTTGCCTAGAAATAATTACTCCTTCAATATCTACACCCGGTTTTCTAAGTAGTTGAAAAAAACTCGCTGCTGGTTCTCTTGACAGCAGACAGGGAACCCAGAGAAAGACCTATGGATGAACAAAGTTAGGGAACCTGAGTTCTATTTTGGACGGGCTGACTGAGGCACCCTGGACTGTCCAGACAGGTCAAGCAGCAGGTCCAAGGGATGGGTTCTCAATCCAGCTTACCGCTGCCCAGACCTGGGGGCCGCCAGACAAGAGGGGTGAAGGGGTGAAGGGTGGGGCGTTAGGTGAAGGTCCCTGTGCAGCAGGGACCCCTTAAGCGGGTCCACCCTTGGTGTCGGACAGGGAAAAAGGAGCTGAAATTCGAACCTGGGAAGTCAGCAGCAGCGGATATCCAGAGGTTGCAGTTAAGGCGGCATAAACTTCAGCCTCGGACAGTGACGGGACGAAGACCCCTGGCCCCAAGGTGGCCACCTTCACTCCCCAAGGTGAGCGGGCGCAAAAGAGGGTGGTCGAGAATTGTCCTCTAGAACCCCCAAGAATCAGGGTGGAGGTCTCCTCCTGCTGCGTGCATCTCCCCCCAACCCCCACCCCGTTGCAGGTCCCCGGAGCCACCTAGGAATCAGACCTCTGCCCGCGGACTCCGCCCCGGGACCCCTCCTCTTCCCCCCAGGTTCCGCCGCCCGGTACCGTCTCCCGGGGAGATGGTCTCGATCTCCACGCCCATCGCGGTCCCACAGGCCCCGCCTCCAGGGGGGTCCTCGCGGCTGCCCCGACCCCGGCTCCGCTCAGGCCCGACCCCGCAGGCGCTCTGGTTTGCCTTCTTGCCGCCACTGCAGAGCCGGAGGAGGTGCGGCTGGAGTCAGGACCTGCGCGGGGAGGGGCCGCCGGGAAGGGGGCGGCGGGGTGGAGCCGCGCGACAAGGTGGGGTCGGCCGGGGCGGGGCCCGGGGGAAACGACCCTGACGTGGCTGCTCCGGAGCCTGGCCAGACTAACCACCATTAACCCTCTAGCCGAGGGAGGAGGGTGATTAATGAGTCATGCCGGCGCTAGCGCATCCCGCACATCCATCCATCTATCGGTTCAATGCATATTTATTTAGCACCTACTCGGTGCAAAGCTCCAGGGAGTACGCTCAGTCCTACAGACTCGGAGGAGAAAGCCGGTAATTAAACTAACACTTTAAATACATGTGCTCAATACAACACAAGCACCCGAGACTGATACCTAACCCTGGTTAGGTTTCCCGAATCTGCTGCAACAGAGCCGGGGAAGGACAGAAACCAATTATTGGTGAAATTTTCCCCGACCACCTTAAGCCCATATTCATTATCCCTCAAAGGTCTACATCAGGTATTTGTACTGGGGTCTCACTTTTCAAGGCCACAGACTGCTTCCCTGGGGATTCCAATTGAATTAAAGCAGGGTCGCTGTGCTGCGGGCTCTAGCTGAGAATTCAGCTACAGCCTGGAGTGTAAGTGTTGCAGAAAGAATGAATGAATTTCTTTACCTCTAATCCAAAACAGACTGGAATCTAGAAAGATACCTCTGCCTCCGTGGTAATGGGAATTGAACCAAGGGAAATCAGGGCCTCTTCACACTCTAAGCTAATAGAGGCTACATCCATAGGCCATAGGGAGGAGGTAGCATTAGTTTGAAGACTAAAGGACCCTTTAAGAATGTCCCTCATGGGGCTGGAGAGATGGCTCAGTGGTTAAGAGTAGCAGCTCATCCAGAGGACCCGGATTCAATTCCCAGCAAACTCTAGTTCCAGGGGATCAATCCGACACTCTCATATAGGCAAAACTGCAGTACACATGAAATAAAATAAGTGAATAATTTAAAGGTTTTTGTTTTGTTTTGTTTTTTGAGACAGGGTTTCTCTGTGGTTTTGGAGCCTGTCCTGGAACTAGCTCTTGTAGACCAGGTTGGTCTCGAACTCAGAGATCCGCCTGCCTCTGCCTCACCCTTTCTACATCTTTGCAAAAGTCAACATGTTGATTCTAACAAGAGACGGTATGGGAGAAAGACCTAGAATTGGAACAGGAGGCATTTTCCTTCTGCAGTCCACTCTTCCAAGTGGCGCGGTCGCAGACAGCATCCTCACAAGAGGCCTGAGGTTGGCGCTCAGAAAAGACGATCTACACTACTGTCTGGGACAGGATCTGAAAACTCGGCGGGCGCGACCTAGAGTCTGCACGGCTACAGAAGCTCTAGACCTTCAAACCTATTGGTTATGGCCTTGGGCAGGTACTTTTAGATTAGGGGTAGAACAGAACTGCGGCCTCACATTTTGGGAGCGATGTTTTATGGGATTTTAAATGGGTAGTCCCTGACTCCCCTCTCCCAAACTAAAACCGACTAACAATGTTGATTCCTTCTTGCCAACCTCTTCTAAGAGAATGGATGAGACGAGTGTGGGAGAACAGGTTGAAGCGCTGGAGACTGAGTGTGAAGATTCATTTGGCGGTGATTACACGGGAACTACAACTCCCACAAACCCTTGCGGCAAAACTCGCTCTCACTGGCTAGCGGAAGGACCCGCCGCTGACGCGATGCACTCGATTGCCAATAGTCTAGAGGTATTGCCGAGGGCCGAGGACCGAGGCTTCCGTTAGTTGCCCGTGAGTTCTGATTCCCCCGTCCTGTGACGTGAGCGGCCCCCGAAATTTTTATGTGTTGGGCGGGGAGGCAGAGAGTCCAAGGTATTTCTTGTCTTTTGCGGCCAGGCCTGGTGGGCGTATGGAGCCTGGGGCTGGGCGGGGAGGCCAGGAATGCAGGCGTGGGCAGAAGTTGAGGAGTACGAGGCAGATAGGGTGTGGTATGCGGGACAGTAGTTTGGGGACCAGGCTGATGTGGGTTTTAACATGTGAACGAATGAATGTAATGATGCTTCTGGTAATGTAGCCTAAAGACTATAACCTTATTTATAATAGGGTAAAGTCGCCTACGAACTTTGAGGCGTCTCAGCTAACGAAATTAAGTTCTATCACAAATCACAGTAACTGAGCTTTGTATTAATTGCAGGAGGCTCTGTAACCGGTTAATCTGTTAAGCTGTAGCCAAAACGTTGTCTTTGTCTCTCTTCTCTCGTCCTTTGGGGGAGGCAGACTGTTTCTTGTTGTTGTTATTGTGTTGTTTTGGTCTGGTTTGGCCTTTTTGAGACTGGGTACCGTTTGCAGTCTGGAACTCACTGTGTAGCCCAGATTGATCTCGGACTCGAGGCAGGGTGTGTGCTCCAGCGTTTGTGCACTCTGTGCACTTGCTTTGGACATAGTTGGAAGTCGTAACAACTTTTGTGAATTGGTTCTCTCCTGCCACTCTGTGGGAGCCAGAATATCAGACTTGTACACAAACCCCTATTAACTGCTGGACCATCTTGCTGGCTTTCTGTTTTGTTTTTTTTTTTTGTTTTTTTGTTTTTTTTTTTTGTTTTTGTGTGTGTGTGTGTGTGTTTTCTTAATGGCGATTTTTTTAATGACAAGATTTTTAATTTGGCTTTACTAACCTTAGGTCAGTGACTTCCAAATCTTTCCCCTGGTCAGAGTAAAGCAATCTGGGCTACATGAGACTGTGTCAAAAATAAGTACATTACATACTACACACCTTCCTCATCTTTGAAGCATAAGGGCCTTCTGCATCTCTGATTAATGGTTCAGCTGTCTCCCCAGCTAAGCATTTGCATGCTGTCCCTCAAGTATTCTTCAGTGCTCACCTTGCATCTGACGTCATTGCCTTTGCATCAGCTAGAGAAGCAGGTCCTACACATAGCCTTTGTTCTCTGTGGAAACAGCTGCAAACTTTGCTTCCTCTATTTTATTTTATTTTATTTATTAGTAATGGAATGCGGGGGAGTTGGAGGACATGCATACCATGGCAGATGTATCGGAGAAGATAGGACACCTTTCATGTGTTGGAATTTTCCTGTACTTCTTGGAAGGCAGGGATTGAACTCAGGTCAGCATGCTTTTGAGGCAAACACCTTTATCTGCTGAGCCATCTTCTTTTGTTTTTTTAAAGATTTATTTATTTATTATGTATACAGTATTCTCAGTATTCTGTCTGCATGTATGCCTGGAGGCCAGAAGAGGACACCAGACCTCACTACAGATGGTTGTGAACCTGTGAGCCACTATGTGGTTGCCGGGAATTGAACTCAGGAGCTTTGGTCCTGACCTTTGCTCTTAACCACTGAGCCATCTTGCTGACTCTTTGTTCACTTTATTATTGTGGCATTCAGACTCTTTTATCCCCCTCCCACTTTTGGGGAAACAAGGTCTCACTATGTAACTCTAGCTGCCTAGAAATCACACTATAAACCAGACTGGCCTCAAACTCCCAGAGATTTGACTGCCTCTGCCTCCTTTAGGACAAAGACCAAGTTACAAAGATATATTTGTAGCAAATAATATGAGCCCTTAATGTCTTGTTAATTCCTTTTGAAAAAACTTTATTATTCTTAATTTTGGGGGAGGGTGCTAGGGATTGAACCCAGAGTTTTGAGCGTTTGAGGCTGAACCGCTACCAATGACCCACATCCTTAGGTCCAGAAGGACATTTTTATATGCTGGAGATCTGTGTCTACTCATGAAGTTTGTGAATAGAAGGGAAAAGTGACTTAAAACTCTACACAAAGTTAGCTGGGCAGTGGTGGCACACATCGTTAATCCCAGGACTCGGGAGGCAGAGACACATGGATCTCTGAGTTCCAGGCCATCCTGGACTACGGAGTGAGTGCCAGGACAGCCAGGGCTACAGAGAGACTCTGTCTTGAAAAAAATCAACAAAACAAAATGGGGTTCAGCAAGATGCCTTAGCAGGTAAGGGTGACTGCTGCCAAGCCTGACAACCTGAGTTTGTATCCAGGACCCACATAGTGGAAGGAGAGAACCAACTTCTAAAAGTTGTTCCCTGACCTCTGTATGTGTGCATGTCACATGATGCAGAGGCAGGCAGATCTCCATGAGTTCAAGACCAGCCTAGTCTACAAAGCAAGTTCAGGACATCCAGAGCTACATAAAAAAAGGCCTTATCTAAAAAGAAAGAAAGAAAGAAAGAAAGAAAGAAAGAAAGAAAGAAAAGAAACAACAACAACAACCTCTCTCCCTTTCACAAGGTAATACAGGAGTTGTACCTAATCCTGTCTAGTCAGCATCATGTAACGGCACATGTAAGTCACCTTGATCCTTTTCTGTTCCCCAATTTAGCCAACAGTCCATCTAAGTCATCTCTGGGTTGAGTTTATAGGACTTGGTCAGTTTTTCCATATTTGATGCCTGCTTTGAATTCAGTTTGTGCATGTGGAAAAATACACAGATATATTATCCTAATCATTTGAAGTATGCATTGGCATTAAACACACCCACAGTGTTGTACAACCACCACAGCTATCCATCTCTGTTAATTCCTTTCATCTTTTAGAAAAAAATTTCCCTCGAGATAGGGTTTCTTATTGTGTTATATTTTTCTTTTTGCTTTTTGAGGGGCCCGCCACCCTGCTCCCTAATAAATCACATGGAGACTTATTATAAATGCTTTAGCTTGTTTCTAGCCAGCTTCTCACCTTTTGCCTCTGGGCTTTTATCTCTCTCTCTCTGTGTATACCTTCCTTACCTCTTTCTCCATGGCTTGCTGTGTGTAGCTGGGCCCTGATGTCCTCCTCCTCTCAGAGTTCTCCTTCTATGTATACTCTCTGCCTGCCAGCCCCGCCTATCCTTGCTCCTGCCTCACTATTGGTCGTTCATCTCTTTATTAGACCATCAGGTGTTTCAGACAGGCACAGTAACACAGCTTCACAGAGTTAAACAAATGCAGCGTAAACAAAAGTCACACACCTGAAAATAATATTCCCCAACAGTTTCTCTGTGTTGCCCTGGCTCTCCTGGAACTTGGACTGTAGCCATAGATCAGGCTGGCCTTGAACCCCTGGTGTTGGAATTAAAGGATGTACACCTTGCAGAGCTGAAACTTTATTTGGGGGTGGGGTTTGAGACAGGGTTTCTTTGTGTAGCGTTGTGGTCCTGGAACTTGCTTTGTAGACCAGGCTGGCCTTGAACTCCCAGACATCCTCCTGCCTCTACCTCCCAAGCCCTGGGATTAAAAGTATGCGCCACCACTGCCTGGCAACAACTAAAAACCTTTATCTAGTGTGCTTCTTTAGTAAATACCTGGATGTGAGGAGATGGGAATCTCAGTGCGAAAGTTGATGCTTTACATTATTGTAAAGAATTGCTGGAGAAAAAAAAAAGAATTGCTGCAAAGAGCAGAGCCAACCGAGGATGTAGACATTCCTTGGAAATTATAGAGAGCTGTGTGGGTGTGATGAAGAGGAAATCACACAGCGATTCCTGAGTACCATTCAGGAAAGAGGTAAAAGCCACTGTTAAAGAACTGAGGAAGTAAGTGCTAATAAAGCCAGAAGTGTGGATATCATTGATTTGACATGACGGGGAAACTGGATAATAGGCTTTCCCTAACTTGTAATATTTAATTAAACATCTCCTAACTTGAAAGTGCCAGAAATAACTGGATACGGTCCTCACACCTTTAACCCCAGCACTTGGAAGGTTGAGGTAGGAGGATCACTAAGAGTTTGAGGCCAACCTGGGTTACATAGTGAGTTCCAGGTAAGCATGGGCTAGAATGAGACTCAGTCTCAAAGCAGTCGAGTAAAAGATAGGGACTGGCAAGATGGCTCAGAGGGTAAGGGTGCTTGCTACCAAGCCTGAAGATCTGAGTTTGGTCCCCAGAGCCCACACGGTACAAAAAAGAATGGACTCACTACTTGTCCTATGACCTCTGTGCACTTGAGCGCATGGCACACATACATAAACTGAGACCTACATTTGTTTGTTTCCTGTTGCTGCTATGACCATATCCCTGGTGATTTAAAGCAACACAATATTATCATCTTACATATCTGTAAGTTATAAGCCCAGTGTGGAGCAATCTTTCAGACTGAGATACATAAACCCTCAAATAAATAAATAAATAAATAAATAAATAAATAAATAAATAGTGCTTTTTAAAAAATTAAAAGAGATGGGTGGTGGTGGCATACACCTTTGATTCCAGCACTGGGGAGGCAGAGACAGACAACTCTTAGAGGCCAGCCTGATCTACAAAGCAAGTTCCAAGACAACAAAGGCTACACAGAGAGACCCTGTCTCAGCCCCCAGCCACCAGAGTTTAAAAGGGTTCTAAAGATAATGTGTGGTTTATAGTACGTGCTGCGTACAGAGGACCTGGCTTTGCTTCCAGCATCCACGTGATGATAGCGCCAGTTCAAAGGGATCTGATATCGTCTGGCCTCCTCAGGTATTAGACACATCTACATGCATCCAAACAAATTCTCACACACATAAGATGAATATATCTTAAAAAATAGAGAAATGGAAAGCAAGGAAAAAACTATAAATACCAGGATAAACTCTAAATTGTGTGTGTGTGTGTGTGTGTGTGTGTGTGTGTGTGTGGTTTGAACCAGGGTCTCACTATGTTACAGGCTGGCCTGGAACTCACGATATAGACTTGGGGTTAAAAGTATGCACCACCATAGTGGGCAATTTTGCTGTATTTCTAACAGTTCTACATATTAATTATTTTTTGTGCCATACCAGGGATTTAAGCTATGGCTTCACACAATACAGGCTCTGTCATTGAGCAATGTCTCCAGCTCAGTATCTTCTAATATCCATTCCATATTCAGATTTCTCCAGTTCTAAAAATACTCCTTTTTCCCCTCCCCCCAAACACTTCTTTCTCGATAGTTTTCTTTTCAGACATTGCTCATAATGCTCACTTTGGCATGATGGTCTCTTCATTTGCAAGTTGCTCTTCTGTATCCCAGTAACTTTAGGTTGTGCAGGGTCCTGCCTACTGTGGAATCTAACTTCTGCATTTGCATGACTGTTCTTTCTGGGTGGAACTTTCCTTCCCCTCTCCCCTCTCTTTTGAGACACAGCCCCACTCTACAGAACTAGCTGGCCTGGAACTCACTATGTGGACCAGGTTGGTCTCAAGCTCACCCAGCTCCTCCTGCTTCAGCCTCCTGAGTGCTGGCATTAAAGGTCTGTGTCACTCCGTCCTTCTGTAACTCTCCTTCTTAATGCTTTCAGAGAGCCTTAACTGAAAGGATGGAGTTGGGGAATGGAAAACTGCTTAGGACCGGACTGAACTCACTGAATCAGGCGGTGCATCCAACTCACGGCCTTGCCTGGACTGATGGGAATCGAGTGATCCTGACTGATTTGCGGCTTCAGAGGGGAGAGGCCAAGTTTGGGGACTCCCAGGTCATTGGAAAATTCGAATATGTGTGTGGGGTTTCCTGGGCCCCCGTCAGCGTAGCTCACATACCCACTCTGCTCGCCATCCAGCACAAGAAGCATGTCGCCGTGTGGCAGCTGTGTCCCAGCACTTCGGGTTCCAGCAAATGGCAGATGTCTCAGACCTCTGAAATCCGAGAATCCCTCCCAATCCTTCCTCAGGGCTGCCTGTGGCACCCGAGAGATGCTGTCCTGACTGTGTTGACGGCGCAGGATGTTTCCGTTTTCCCTAACATTCACTGCGACGGTTGCAGAGTGAAAGTGGACATCAACACCAAGGGCCGAATTTACTGTGCCTGTTGGACCCTGGATGGCCAGCGGCTGGTGGTGGCAGTAGACAGCAGCCTTCATTCTTATATGTGGGACAGCTCTCAGAGGTCTCTCCAGAGCTGCTCCTTCTGCCCAGTGCTCCAAGTGGGCCGCTCCATTCGCTCCATCGCAGCCACCGAGGACTCACAGGTTGCTATAGCCACTGAGCTTCCACTCCATAAGCTTTGTAGCTTAAATGCGGCTGAAGCCTTTGCTGTCCCACCCAACGGTGAAGATGCTGGCGTGCGCTCTTTTCCTGTCGGGGAAATGCCCCCTGGGGAAATGAATTCTGGAGTGATGGTCTCTCCCTTTTCAGATCCTCTGGATCTGACTCACATCCACTTCAACCCATCTCCAGTTGAGGAGAGTTCTCTTGTTTGTGTCAGAAAAACTGACTACGTGACAGGTACAGGCCAGGACTCTTCACACTTGATCTTGGTAACCTTTAAGAAAGCAATTACCATGACAAAAAAGGTTGCCATTCCAGGCATTCTGGCTCCTGATTTGATAGCATTTAACCTGCCAGCACAGCTAGTGGCTGTGGCTTCCAATACCTGTAACATCATTTTGATCTATTCCACCATTCCATCCTCTATGCCAAACATCCAGCAGATTCAGTTAGAGAGTAACGAAAGACCAAAAGGCGTATGCTTCCTAACAGACAGATTTTTATTAATTTCTGTAGGGAAACAAAAGCCCACTGAGACTACATTTCTTCCTTCCTCAGAATCTGATCAGTATGCTGTTCGCCTGGTAGTTAGAGAGGTAACATTGGGAAGAGAATCTTCTGGAACGCCTGCTGAAAGTCAGGACGCTTATTCTGCCTTCAACACTCTGTTGAATAAAGTAGACAGAGAAAAGTTTCTTGAGAGCCTTTCGCCGGGCTTGAGTCCCCTGAGCTCAGGACTCTTGCTGACAGCTAACACCAGTACTCAGGGTGGGAGGTCTGGAAGAGCCCTTATTCAGGAGATTACAAGTCCCTCGTCCCCTCTGTCCTGCGATTCCATTGTACGAGAAACCCCTCACACATCCTCCTGGCTTTGGCCCGGATTGCCTAGACCCAGCAGGACACCAGACCATACCAGCACCTCAGAGCCAAATTTACCTCAAACACAGAACTTAGAAAAAGAAAAGGAAACTTGCCCACACTCCAGGGAGCTGGAAGTTCTATCTAGGCACCTGGCTGGAATGCAGCAGTGCCTTTTTGAACTCATGGATTTTCTACACAAGGAAAAGCGGTTCTCTCCAATGTATCCACTCTCTCAGGACCCTCCCTATGTTCACCTCATTTACCAGGTAATGTCTCCTTTGAGGAACTTCCACTATGCAGGAAGCTCTTGACTCCAGGGGATTTTGCCACAAACATTGTAAGGAGGGGAGCTCTGAGCAAAGCCCAGTGACCTGCGTGTACTGTGTTACAGGCAAGCTCACACAGCTTTGTACAGTTGGTTGGATGTGAGCTACCAAAAGTGCACACACCAAGGTTTAGTGCGATTTTATCATATCTTTGGTGTGGAATTAATGATTGTACTCTGGTGAGTTATGTTTAGGAAAACAATAGGCTTAATTGTGTCATTTCATCATGAAAACCTTTTCCATATGTGTGTGTGAGAGAGATCATTTACAATGTTTTTATCCCTACACATGCACATGCAAATACATCTCCATGGGAGTGTTGTGGCTGTTGTTTGTATTTTTGAGACAGGGTTTTATTTCTGTATCCCTGGCTATCTTGGAACTCACTCTGGAGACCAGACTGCCCTTGAACTCAGAGATCCACCTGCCTCTGCCTTTGAAGTCCTGAGATTAAAGGTGAGCGCCACTACTGCCTCCCACATTTGCCTCTGTACATATGGAGTCGAGCACAGATCCCTGTGAACATAGATACATACAGTACTGGGGAGTGCTTTATAACAGTGGGGTCATGGGGTACACTGTACCTCAAGCTGAGTACGCATGCTTACTCAGCTTCATTTTCTGTTGGGCACCTCAAATAATGCTAAAATAGTTTGTTTATTCATAGGATTAGTACCTTTATTTTTGTTGGATTAGTTACTATCTTGAGGAAGCTGGGCACCTTTCTCCCTCCTGCATGTGATTTCATCCACTGAGGACGCTGTGGTTACAGGGATCATTTGAGCCCAGAAGTCTGGGGCCAGGAGTATGAACTGAATTAGACCCTATCTCAAAACAAACAAAAGTCCTACTTTTTATAAAGGTGAATATCAAACATAAATGACTACATGTTTAGATATCTCTTTAGACATGAAGATTCCCAGATTGAAAGTATTTCTGTTCTTTTTTTTAAAGATTTTTTTTTAATTAATGATGTATATAGTGTTCTGTCTGCATGTATCCCTGCCTGCCAGAAGAGGGCAGCAGATCTCATTACAGATGGTGGTGAGCTATCATGTGGTTGCTGGGAATTGAACTGAGAACCTCTGGAAGAACAGCCAGTGCTCTTTACCTCTGAGCCATCTCTCCAGCCCAGTACTTCTGTTCTTGAGCATTTCAGAGAAGGGATAATCAGCCTGTGTAGAGAAAGTCTGTGTAGTCAAGGTCATCATGGCGTGAGTTTGAAACTCACAAAAGAGTATAATGATAATGTAGAAAGCAAAGTGCGTTAGACACATGGCTGCTTTATAGCACTTTTCCATGTCAAATATTCATTTTTTAAAAGATCTGTTTATTATATATACAGTGTTTTGCCTGCATGGTCACCTTCACGCCAGATGAGGGCGCCAGATCTCATTACAGGTGGTTGTGAGCCACCATGTGGTTGCTGGGAATTGAACTCAGGACCTCTAGAAGAGCAGCCAGTGCTCTTATCCACTGAGCCATCTCTCTAGCTGGGCAAATATTAATTGTATAAAGTAATGGGTTTCGCCGGGCAGTGGTGGTGCACACCTTTAATCCCAGCACTTGGGAGGCAGAGGCAGGCAGATCTCTGTGAGTTTGATGCCAGCCTGGTCTACAAGAGGTAGTTCCAGGACAGCTAGGGCTGTTACACAGAGAAACCCTGTCTCAAAAAACCAAGAAAAAAAAATTAAAATAATGGGTTTCATTATGACTCATTTTAAGCCTTCATTGAATTCACCCCTTTCCCTCCCCTTCCCTGATCCCCAATATCTTCCTATGATAGTCCCTTCTGTTTGTGTGTCACCCTCCGGGTTCCACATATGAGAGAAAGTATGGTGCTTCTCAGAGTCTGACTTATTCCACAAACCAGCCAGCCAGGTCATTTGTAACATGGTTCTCCAAGTACTTAGGAAGACACTATTCCAAATAATAATCAGGAGTTATGGATAGATGGTAACTTTTATCTACTGTGTGTTTGTATATAATGTGTATGTGTGAGATGGGCATGCATGTAGAGATCAGAGCACAACTTTCAAGAATCAGAAGCCAAGTGTGATGGCATATACCTGTGATCTTAGCACTGAGAAGGTTGATGTCTGTGAGTTCAAGTCCAGCCTGGGCTACAGAGTGAGTTTCAGGCCAGCCAGAACTATACAGTGAGACTCTGTCTTAAAACAAAAAAGTTAGTCCTCTCCTTCCACCTTTGGTTCTAGGAATCAAACTTGGGTTATCATAACCTAAATGGCAAGTGCTTTTCACCACTGATCCATCTTACTGGCCTGATGATTTAGTAATGAAACTTTTACTGTGATGAAACACCATGACCAAAGCAGACTGGTGAGGAAAGTGTTTCTTCACTCACAATTCCACATCGCTGTTCATCAGAAGGAGTGAGGGCAGGAACTTAAGCAGGACAGGAACCTGGAGGCAGGACCTGATGCAGAGGCCATGGAGGGGTGCTGCTTACTGGCTTTCTCCTCATGACTTGCAAAACCTACTCTTAAAGAACCCAGGACCAGCTGCCCAGGGATGGCACCACCCACAATGGTCTGGCCCTTCCCCCATCAATCTCTAATTAAGAAAATGACCTACAGGCTTGTGCACACCCTGCTCTTATGGAGGCATTTTCTCAGTTAAGGTTCCCTCCTCTCTGAGCACCATACCTTGTGCCAAGTTGCCATAAAACCAACCAAACACTGGCCCTAGAAGTAAATTTTTTATTCTGTGTTCATAATTGTGTTTTTAGGCTTATGTCTTAAAGTAGAACTATAACAATTTAAACAATTTAAAGATAAAATAGGTATATTTTAAATCACTTAAAAGACTTCACTCTTTCATGGCTTAAAAAAAAATTTGTGTTTTGAGGTAGACTCTCACTGTGTAACATTGTCTGTCTTCAACTCGCTCTGTAACCTTAAAGTTTGCCCTGCAACCCCAGAGCTGGATCTAGCATGGGCGCCATCACTCCCGGCTCCCTCAATGTTGGTCTTAAGAAATGTCATTGTAGCTGAGCAGTGGTGGTGCACGCCTTTAATCCCATCACTCAGGAAGCAGAGGCAGGCAGATCTCTGTGAGTTTGAGGACAGCCTGTTCTATAAGAGCTAGTTCTAGGACAGGCACCAAAAGCTACAGAGAAACCCTGTCTCAAAAAAAAACGATAGATAGATAGGTAGATAGATAGATAGATAAATAGATAAGAAAAAAGAAATGTCATTCATTACATTGCTCTTACCATCAATTAACCATTTTTACTTTTCCTTGAAGAAACCTTCTGTGGGTCCTGCTGAAGAAAGAGCCGTGCTTCTCTGTGATGGCAAACTGAGGCTCAGCACTGTCCAGCAGATGTTTGGCCTCTATCTCGTTGAAATGCTGCACAGTAAGTTAGCACCAGAGCACCCTCTTCCTCTCCCGGCTATTTTGACTTCAGGAATGGAAATGATGCTGTCCAACCTTTCAGTGATTCAATAACCAATTAATAAGTTATGATTAATTGCCTACTATGTACCCAGGCCTATTAGAGAAACTACAGCCCATTGAAAATGAGTCCTTTCCTGAGGGAACTTACACCCAACTGGGGAAATCCTCACTTTTTTAAAAGTAGAATGGATTTTAAAAGAAAAGGTAGGACTGAGTTCAGGGCAGTTGGTAGCAGTGTGCCTGCTGCAGTCAGGTACAGCCTTACAGAAGCCCTGCAGTGTTGCCTGGAGGAGCTGACATCCCTGTGCAGAAGAGCCCCGCCTGATGCCTTAGTGATCACTTGTGGGACATGGCTGTTTTATTATGCCTCGTTTTTATAACAGTAGCCACCACACTGAACACAAGACATTTTGTTTTCTTTTAACATTTTTCTGTTTTGACAGATACATTTATAATATGGCTTTGCAATTGTCATTTTTAACAGATAGGTTAACATTACTTTGGAGATATTCCATTTTTACTTCATATTTTCTTGATTGTTAGATTTTAGTTTAGTTTAAAATTTATTATTATCACTATTATTTGTTTTATGTGTTTGCCTGCAAATTTATCTGAGAACTAGATGCATTCTGTACCTATGTAGGCTAGAAGAGGGCATTAAGTTCCCTGTGACTGGTGTTACAGAGTTAGCCTTTATGAATTTGCTAGGAATTTAACCCTGGTTCTCTGGAAGAATAGCTTAGCTGCTGAACCATCACTCCAATTCCATTTTTATTTTACATGTATGAGTATTTTGTCTACATATGTATCTATACACCATGAGTACACTGTGACCTAGGAGACAAGAAGAAGGTATTGGATCCCATCTTCCATTCTCGGTAGGCAGTGTGTGCTCACCATGCGTATACACACGTGCATACATACAGGGAAATCACTCATACCTGTAAAATACTGTATACACATTTAGGTCATTTCAATGTATTCACCATTATAAATAACACTAAGAAAAATCACCCTACATATTTGTCTGTTAGTTTTGGGAATGTATATTTTTCAGAAGTAAAATCACATGTTCTCTGAGACTTCAAGGAACCAGAGAAGATCCAAATACGTGCCATACTTGTGGCCCCAGGGCAAACCCCAGGGTTTTCTAGGTCACTATTCTTCTATTCGCCTCACCCCCCTTGAATAGCTACAGTTGGTACTAATATATAGAATAAAAAAGTTCCTCGGTTGGATGGATCTTCATGAAGTTTCTGGAGACCCTAGCGAGCATCCTAATATGTACAGCAAGCATCCTAATATGTACAGATGTGCGCCCACACACCTGTATGCCTAGCACCATGTGATGCTGGGCTGGGCTGGGCTGGGCTGGGCTGAGCTGGGGAGACGGCTCAGTGGGTGAGGAAGAGCACTGGCAGGTCTTCTGGGGAACCCAGGTTCAATTCCCAGCACTCTCAACTGTCTGTAGCTTCTGTTACTGCCTGTTCCAGAGGATCCGACACCCTCATACAGATGTACATGCAGGCAAAACACCAATGTGTACACAAAATAAAAATAATAATTTATAAATGTCAGTCCTAGGCTGGGGAGATGGCTCAGTGGTTAAGAGCACTGACTTCTCTACCAGAGGACCCGGGTTCAATTCCCAGCACCCACATGGCAGCTCACAACTGTCTACAACTCCAGTTCCAGCATACTCAACACCCTCATATAGACATACATGCAGGCAAAACACCATCACACATAAAATACATGGTTAAAAAATAAATAGATGTCAGTCCAGAGGAAAACTGTTACGTTTTTAGCTTTGAGTGCCCCCCTTCCTGAGCTGCCATGTGACCTGACCCTGAGCACAACTCCATCCTTTCATCTTCATATTTCCTGACGTGTTAGATGGTGGGGTTTATGATGGGGTTTGATATCAGCCCTGTATCTCATTTCTGAAAAGTTATCCCTGATGTGGTGGTGTGCACCTACGGTCGCAGCACTGAGGCCGAGTCATGAGTACCAGTGTGAGGCCAGCCTTGGGCTGCGTGGTGCCAGAGCAGCCACAGCTGCAGAGCCAGACTTCACAGTAGTGGCCAGACCTGTTTGCAGTTACATGGTGATCCTTCTAGAACCGTGGGGTCCCCTAAGCTGCTGTGCATTTGTTTGCTCTGTAGATTCCCATTGGATCCTCCTCTCTGCCGACAGCCAAGGTTTCATCCCATTGACTTTCGCAGCCTCCCAGACGGTCGTGGTGAGAGATGGCAGCCTGTCCAAGCCAGAGCTGGCTAGGGGCTCTCCTTCTCACAATCGGGATCCCATTCTGCCACCTGGAGGCTTTGGAGACCTTGCCACACAGAACGCAGATACTGCTGGCTGTTTCAGCAGTGTGGCCTGAGGGCTGTATCTGCTCCACCAGCTTCCCTAGGACTGCGGACTGCTGGGCAGCAGGGCGAGTGCTTGCTTGTGTGCTCCTGACTGTGCCACTTGGAGGACAGAATTCCAAGAACAAAACCATACTGTGTCACCATGTGGATTGTATCCTACAACATTTCTCCAAGGCCTTGCTTCCCTGAAGCTGGGTTCAGACTGCCTGGAGCGAGTGCATCATGGGATACTCTGGTGCAGTGGTAGGCCTTTGCCTTGCTTTAAATGTGCAGGTGAGGAGAGCCACTGGGGAGCCTGTGCTTCAACACAGCCTTTTAACCCATTCCCCAGGCAGCAGGAAACCATTGCAGAGGAAGTCAGAGACCCGCTTCACCCTCAGGACTGCCTGGATCAGGAGGATCAGTTCAGAGGATGGCCTCCCTCCCTGGATTTAAAACCAACTTTTTTTTTTTTTTGATTTTTCGAGACAGGGTTTCTCCGTAGCTTTTGGTTCCTGTCCTGGAACTAGCTCTTGTAGACCAGGCTGGCCTCGAACTCACAGAGATCCGCCTGCCTCTGCCTCCCGAGTGCTGGGATTAAAGGCGTGCGCCACCACCGCCCGGCTAAAACCAACTTTTTTGAGTCCGTTGACAATTCTAGCCAATAAGGTCCAGATATTGCTTAAAAAAAAAAAAAGTGCTGTGGGCAACAAAATAAGATAAAATAAAATGTTAAGATTTGACCCCCTCTGGCCTCCGCCTGATTGTGTGCCATTGCCCACCTGGTGAGACCCACACCTTGTTTTCTTACCTTTGCCACTGATGATTTTCTCCTTGAGATGTGTTGATTTATTTTCCAATTTGAGGATCACAAAAATTTCTCATTTTCCCTCCCAGCAATCAGCCTTCTTGGTTAACTTTTCATTTGTTTGTTGCGGAAGTAAGGGCTTAGACCTTACTCCAGAGGTAAGGCTCTCGCTCGCACTGAGCTGTGTACCTCTGGCCCAGCTTCCCACTTAACTTTGCTATTTCTCTTCTAATTCCTTCAGACCCTAAGAGACCAGCATAGAATCACAGAGTATTTCAAAAAGTTGAACACTTCACAAAATCCAAACGAGCTCTAAAGCGCATCAGTCTGTGCATACTCAATAAGGTGCCCTTAGTACGCGGGGAAGAGCCTGACCCCTGCAGCCGGACCCTCGCAGCGTCAGGCAGTGTCCCCCGTGTCAATCACGCCCGGCAGGCAGATTGATGAGGGTTGGAAGTGCAGATACATTGTTTCAGCCATGGAGGCTCCATTAACACATATACCCCCCTCCTTTTCCCTTTAAAATTACCCAGAGAGGAAATAGCTTGTGCCTTGGGGGACTCCTGTCCGTCTGCTGCAGTTTCTGAAGATGGAGCTGGGCTAGGAGAGAGGCGAAGGCCTGTTTTGTGGTTTGGATGCCTTAGACGACTGCTGGGATAATGGACGGGAAGGCCGCGCGTCTGTAATCAGCGGCCTAGAGAGTGGTGGCTGAGGGGCAGCAGGCCTGGCTCCAGCGGCAGAGAAAGTGTCTGGGGTGTCATGAAATCACTGCTATTATGGATCCTAAGGAGAGGAACTAGGGGAACCTGAGTAAGGATCAATGTGAAGGCCTCGAGATGTACTTATAATCACCATTTCTTAGGGCGGAACACTCAGAATGACTCTCAAGTGGAATCTCAAATATCGGCCGAGGCTGTCAGAATGTTCTAATGGTACGGTCTCTGTGAGAATCGCTGGTGTAGAGAAGTGTTCTGCATCTGCACGTGCATAAGTATCCTCTTGGTTTTTCTTTTCGAGACAGGGTTTCTCTGTAGCTTTGGAGCCTCTCCTGGAACTAACTCTTGTAGGCTAGGCTGGCCTCGAACTCACAGAGATCCTCTACCACCACTGCCCTGTGCATATTTCTTCCTCCGGTAGACGTGTAGAATGTAAATTGTTTCTGGATAGTAAATCTGTTTCCAACTAATGACGACTCTTACACAGATGTTTCTTTGCCCTCTGCTGTAATGACAGTCATTGGAACAATAGAAGCCAGTCCTGTTCTTGCTGGCTTCAGAGAGAAGCACTAAGTCCTTTAGCATCTTTAATAAAAAAGGTTTTGCATCAGCCAGGTGTGGTGGTGCATGCCTTTAATCTCAGCACTCAGGAGGCAGAGGCAGGCGGATCTCTGAGTTGGAGGTCAGCCTGGTCTACAGAGTGAGTTCCAGGCTGTAGTGAGACCCTGTATAATCATAGTAGTAATGATAAGTCGTTCTAAAGAGCAAGAACATTGCTAGAACCCTTTCAGGCTTTCCATGTGTCCCTTTCAGTCCTGTCTCATTAGCTCCAAAGGTGACTGATATATGTCTCGATTATTGTGATTATTGCTTCTTCATTCCTCTCCTTTAAAGGAGTTTCACCGCCATGTATACATGGTGGCGTAGACATGTTTATTTCTCTTGTTTTTAAGCTTTAAACAAATGGTATATTATATAGTCTTCTGACTCTTGAGAGTGCTTGTGTGTGCATGAGTGCATCTGCACACTTGTGAATGTGTGCTCATGTTTATATAGAGGCCCAAGTTTGTTCATTTCCTATTGTCCTGTTCACCTTTTTCACTTAGACAATGTTTTTCTGTAGTGGCTGTCCTGGAACTCCCTCTTTAAACCAAGATGACCTTGAACTCACAGAGATCCACCTCATTCTGCTACCTGGAATTAAAGGTGTGCACTACCTCTGCCTAGCATCCATCCACCCTTTTTTTTTTTTTTTTTTAAATAGTGTTTCCCAGGGGGCTGGAGAGATGGCTCAGAGGTTAAGAGCATTGCCTGCTCTTCCAAAGGTCCCGAGTTCAATTCCCAGCAACCACGTGGTGGTTCACAACCATCTGTAATGGGGTCTGGTGCCCTCTTCTGGCCTGCAGGCATACACACAGACAGAATATTGTATACATAATAAATAAATAAATATTAAAAAAAAAAAGAAATAGTGTTTCCCATTAGTCTGGGACTCACCCAGTAGGCTAGACTAGCTGGCCAGCAAGCTCCAGAGATCTACCTGGTTTCACCTCCCCAAAACACTCAGATTAAAACCTTATGCCACCATGTATGTTTTTTGCTGTTGATTTTTTTTATTTTTCGAGAGAGGGTTTCTCTGCAACTTTGGAGTCTGTCCTGGAACTAGCTCTTGTAGACCAGGCTCGCCTCGAACTCCGTCTGCCTCTGCCTCTCACGTGCTGGGATTAAAGGCGTGTGCCACCACCGCCCGGCTTTTAATGTGAGTTCTGGGAACCTAACTCAGATCTCGTGCTTAGAGGCAGTGATGTTCTTTTGACTGAGCAGTCACTACCTCCACCTTGTTTTCCAAGAATGCATCCTACTGAACCTGGAGCTCACTATTTTGGTTAGACTAATGAGCCATTGAACTCCTAGGATCTGCCTGTCTCCCTGCCAACCCCCTCCACCAAACCCTGGGGCTACAGCTGAGCCCTGTCATGCTGTCCCTGGATGCTGAGGATCTGAACTCAAGTCCTCATGCTTACACAGAAGCATGTACCCACTAAGCCACCTCTCAGCCCCAACTGTCGGGGACCAACTTCGACAAAAATACCACTCGCCAGGGTAGGGGTGTTGGGATTTAGAAATATAGTAAAGAATACTAAGATGTGAAAATAATAAGACAAAAACATAGGATAGTACTGGGAGGGAATTCCAGTGAATACTGAAATCACCACGCTTAATTTCCAATTGCTTAAAATACCCCTGACCCCAAAAGGTAGGAAGGAGTAAGACAAAAAAACGACATTAATGTGATACAAGGAAATGAACAGACCAATTGAAGGTCGTGGGCTACTTCCACAGTTAGGAACCTTAGTCGGATCCTTAGACTTTTGTTTGAGGTAGAAACGCTCTACTTCTCTACCTATTGACAAGTAACCTTGAAAGAGCGGAACTCTCTCACTGAAATCTAGGTGGGCCCTTGTTTGAGGTAGAAACACAACAATAGCTTGAAAAGATTGGTGTAAGTTCCAGTGCTCGGACTTTTGGTCAGCACGGAAGTAGGCTCACATTTTTTGGGCCTCCACACCAAACTCAGGATTATCTCGAAGATGCTTCCTCATATGTGTGTGTGATTTTTACCTTTGTGACTTGGCACAATTTACAGCCCCACTGGCATGGGCATTTGGTTGTTTCCTGGCTTTATTTTAGAAATTATGAACCATATTGCTTTGGATACTATTATACATATCTCTGTATGCAAATATTTGAGAAGTCTCTCTGTGGTCTTTTACCCAGAAATGGCTCTCACTGTTACACTGATTGGTTACTACAGATTGCCTGATAGTAGGTCTTGAGACCAGGTGTTATAATGCTTTCTTCTAGTATTTTTGCGTGCTTCCATATGAATGAGTGTTTTTTGTTTTTTGTTTTTTTTTAGGAAGTATGTTGGGCTAGGGACAGGTTCAGAAGAGGCCATATTCATGGCTCATCTAGCATATACCTAAGGCCGTAGGTTCAATCCTTACCTGGACGCCTTTAATCCCAGCACTCGGGAGGCAGAGGCAGGCGGATCTCTGTGAGTTCGAGGCCAGCCTGGTCTACAAGAGCTAGTTCCAGTACAGGCTCCAAAACCACAGAGAAACCCTGTCTCGAAAAACCAAAAAAAAATAAGACAAAATAACAACAAAAACTGTGAAGCTGGGCACATGTCTAGGATCCCAGTACTTAGTAAGGTAAGCCAACACTGGTGAATTTGAAGCCAGCTTGCCCTGCCTCACACACAGAAAGAATGGTATTTGCTGTAGGGTTGTGGCAGATCCTTCTTTTGGGACGAAACATTTCTTTTTGTTCTTGTTCTGCTGGGTTCTTCTATTATGGATGGATGCATTTAGTTTTTATCAAACATTTTTTTCCATGGAGGGGATGAGTTGTGTTTGGATGCATGATGTTGGGAGTGCCTGAAAAGCATTCAGGAGGCATTGGGTCTGGGGAGCTGAAGCTCAGCGGATCGCATTGGGTTTGGAGTGGACTCTGCAGCAGCAGCGTATGGTGGTGGTGGTGGTAAGATCACACTGGGAAGGCGGAGGTCAAGGAGCATCAAAGAAGCAGAAGCAAAGAGGGAAATGTGGGTCAGAGGCAATGGAGAGCAAGCCGAGGAAGACTAGAGTTCTGAGGTGTGGTGCTCAGTGTCCATTGCCTAGCATCAGTTACTTGTCCTGTTGCCATGCTAAAGTATTCTGATAAAAGCCCCTTAAGGAAGGAAGGGTTGGCCAGGCAGAGGCAAGCAGATCTCTATGAGTTCGAGGCCAGTCTGGTCTACTAAGTGAGTTCCAGAACAGCTAGCACCATTACATGAGAAATTCTGACTTAAAAAAAAAAAAAAAAAAGAGGAGGAAGAGGAAGAAGAGGAGGAAGGGGGAAGGGTTTATTCTGACTCAGGGGTACAGGGTTGGGAAGCCATGGCAACAGGAGCTTGCAGCAGCAGCTCACATTGCATCTGAAGTGAGGAGGAAGGAAGTGAAATGTTGATGCCCTGCTTGCTCTCTCGTCCTTCAGCCTGGGACCCCAGCCCATGTGATGGTGAGGAGGTCCTCCCACCGCAGTTAACCTGTCAAGATAATTGTCTCCCCAGTAATTCTAACTCCTGCCAAGTTGGCAATCAGTAATTAACCACTATAGTCTGGAGCTTTGTCAGGCATTGCTAATTTGATTGACATATCCATCCTGAGATGTACAGAAGGTAGGTGTTCAAAGAAGAAATGACCATCTATTCAGACAGCTGAGCCTAGGAGTTGAGCCCGCTTGGGCAACATAACCTCTAATCTAAACTAAACTCAGATTTTTAAAAACAATGATGATCCATACCTGTAACCCTTGGTTCAAGGACAGCTTCGGCTACATAGTGGGTTTGAGGCCAACCTGGGCTACATATGAACTTGTCTCAAACAAACAACAAAAGTAATGAATAAAGGGCTGGAGAGATGGCTCAGTGGTCAAGAGTATTTGTTGCTCTTACAGAGGACCAAGGTTTGATTGCCAGCACCCGCACTGGGCAGCTTACAATCACCTGTAACTATAACTCCAGGGGCGATGCTGCCCTCTGCTGGTCACTGCAGCACCTGCATTCATGTAGTGCACATGTACACTAAGGCACCAACACGTACACATAAAAGAAATCTTTAGCCGGATGGTGGTGGCACATGCCTTTGCTGGTAGTACTTGGAGGGCAGAGGCAGGCAGATCTACAGGTGTGAGGCAAGCCAGGTCTACAGATAGAGTTCCAGGACAGCCAGGGCTACACAGAAACTCTTGTCTCGAGAAACCAAATTAAGAAAGAAAAGTAAAGAAGGAAAGAAAGCAATTTTTAGAAACAAGAAATAGGGCTGGAGAGATGGCTCAGCGGTTAAGAGCACTGACTGCTCTTCCAGATGTCCTGAGTTCAATTCCCAGCAACCACGTGGTGGCTCACAACCACCTATAACGAGATCTGGTGCCCTCTTCTGGCCTACAGGCAGGATACTACATAAATTAGTAAATAAATCTTAAAAAAAAAAAAAGAAAAGAAAAGAAAAAAATAGAAACAACAAATAAGGCAAGCACTATGGGAAAGCACTTGCTGTGGGGAGGAGTAGAAACAGTGTACAAACTCCTTTCTCCTCCTCTGCGTGCTGCAGTTGGTCCTGTCACACAACACTGTCTCCTCTGCTATGGATTCAGGAGTGACTGGTAAGGAAGAGATGGGAATGGCAAGTTGTTTTGGTTTAGGTTGAGGGCAGCAGCTGGTGCCCTGGTCTCCGTAATTCATAGCTGGGGTAAGAGCCAGACTTAGGCTCCTCCTCAGGGGATGCAACGCAGGATGGTGAGCTGTCCACAGAAACATTTTATCCATTCTGTAGGAAGCTCTTGAACTTTACTTTTGCTTATAAGGCCTCAGGTTGTTCAGACTGGCTTCAAGTGGACACCTAGCTGAGCCTGGCCTTGAACTCTTGATTCTCCTGCTTTTAACCTCCTGAGTGCCAGGATTACCTGTGTGCATCACTACACCCAGCTAAATTTGTTTTTGAAAAAATATCAACCCCAGTGAATCCTTCTTCCCCAAAGACTTATACAATCCCTAGAAAACTGCCCTTCCTATTATATGCTAATATAACAGAATTTCAGAAAATACGTTTGCATTTATTTGTAAAAAGTGAAAGGCCTCTGATGGTTCTGCGCCATCCTCTGTCTACTGACAGAAAAAAACACTGAACAAACACCCGTGTACCATGGTGGGTCTGCTTAGCCCCCAAAACGTCACATGTCCTCCGTTTGCCCAGTCACATGGTGTCCCAGCTTTCCTACGCTCTCAGCAGGCATCCACTGGAGACTCTGCAAACCTCCTGTGTGGGGAGCTCTGCCATCAAGCAAAGAGAGTGTCCAGGCTGGAGTAGGCAGGATGCTTTCGGAGTCTGAGGGTTCTTGAAGGTGGAGTCGTCTGGGCTACAAGCCTGGAAGGTTGAGGGTCAGCAGGCAAGGAGGTGCTGAGTAGGGTTCCTAGAGCCTGGGCCAGCCCCTTCAGATGTCCCTAGAGTCTCCACTCGCAAGGGAAAATGCGTGTGCTAAGTTGGTAGGCTATGCTCGGGTTGCTGGATAGAGAGAATTCTAGAAAATGCAGGCTTCTGCTTTTCTGCCTCACAGAAGTCCTCTTCTAGTTCAGGCGAGGCTGTAGCTAGTTCTCCTGAGGGAAGGGAAGAAACCAAGGAGGAAGAGAGAGGTGAGATGAGGGTCTCCACCCTGTCACAGAGTGCCACAGAAGTTTCAGCGGCTGTTCCATGCCTTGCCAGGAATTCTCCACTCACAGGCCTACTAAAGCCACGGCCAAGTTCCAGGTTCCCAACCTCTAGGCATTGTTGTGTGGACAGCAGGACCTCTGGGCCCTTTAGCTGAAGGCTGATGCTACCAGCTATGAGAATAAGGGCCTGCTGATAATGCTGCCTGTGTGTTCTGGGGCAACATGGACACCAACTTATATATTTGTAAGTAGACACATCTGTGGGTCAGGTGTATGTTGATGGGGTAGCACACACTTTCCAATAGGCACCTCTCGGGCCTTGGGCCCTGTGCTGAGCTCCTGGAATAGACGGATTAATGAACTGTATTCTCAGCTGTAAGATGCCCGCACTGTCCTGGGAAAGCCAGGCAGTACACACATCCTCCATGTGGTCAGATGTATGGTAGGAGAAGGACAAGCCTGGGCAGGCACTCAGCAGCCGTGGGAGGGATGAGCAGGAGGCTCCCAGGCTTCGGCACTCTCTGAGATGGGGATCCGGAAGGAGAAGTGTAGGGAGAGAATGAGATCAGGTGAAGGCTCCCTACACTGGGCGGACAGCAGGTAGAGCTGTACAATGAGCAACGCACCTAGATGTGGAACTTGGCGGAAGTGCAGGGCGGAGGGTACCTGAGTCACTGGTATGAGGTGTTCTAGGTCACGCAAGTAGACCGGGTGCAGGGGAGATCTAGAGATTCCTCACATCCCCTGTCTACCAGGTAGTGCAAGGAAGAAAGCTGGGGATAAAGACTAGAGACAGAAGGAAATCTGGGAGCAGGGAGTGTCACTGAAGCTAAGGCTCGGCTGGTGGTAACTGTTAGGCACTAGGGTGTGTGTGTGTCCCTTAGGCTGGTAACCCTGCCCGTGTGTACCCAATGTACAAGCACTGCCCACCTCCGAAGGCTTAGCTGGGAGGAGGCGTCCTGGCTTGGCGTCTTGGGAGTGGGGCCAACCATGAGGATGCAGAGACCAATAAGGATCATGCAGGTGGGCACAGCACCGATGAGGACCTTGAGGGTGACTACCACTTCCTCTGCTTGCTGGCAGGCTCTTGCCTTATACCCTGCGAACCTGGAGAAACACCACCCCTCCATTTGTCAGCTCTGTTGAGCATGAGTTCTTGGGTGCAGAAGTCACCGATGTGTCACCCCACCCTTTCCTGATAACTGACTGCTGGCCAGATTGGGTATAAGGAGTTCAGAGCCCCTTAGTTCTGATGCTGGGGTTCCTCACACTCCACAGAGTGCAGCACGCACTCCAGACTCATGGGTAGGGGTTCTGTCTCCTCTTCCCACCCCCCTGGTCTTTCGTGTTTTTGGTGTACCCCATCCCTAGGACTGACTCCAAACTGAGGGTGGAGATGCCCAGGGCGCCTGCGCCTGAGAGCTTGGTGAAGAAGACGTAGGATGAGTAGAAGATGGTCTCCACGCCTGGGCCATGTCGGTGCTGCAGCTGGAAGTCATCCACCACATCTGGCAGCATGGACCTGGGGGCAGGTGCATGGAGTTAGCCCTCTTCTCTTTGAGAAGCCCAGGGCCAGCCTGCGAGTCCTCAGGAGGGCAGAGACTACATTGGAGACCTTTGCTCAGAACCAACCCACAGCGCCCAGTGTTTCCCTCTGCTGTTGTTGGCTCCAAGGAAGGAACTGGTGGTCCCATCCAAGAAGAAGGACAGCAGAAGGAAGAGAGACTTCCTTACTGGAGGATATGAGGCTCCCAATCCCCCATCATTTCATCCAGCCTACCAGGGTAGCAGCAGGGACACAGCAATGCTCACACCAGAGACAAAGGCCACAACATAGGCCACAGGTGCAGAGGGCACAGCAGCCAGCAAGATGGAAAATGGCACCATTATCTGGGGAGAGAGACCTGTGAGCCAGCCCTCCACATTCCCCTGCCTTGCTTTCTCATAGCAGACTCAGCCTTTGTGATGCAAGATAAGCCCCGCACCTGGTCCTGTGCTAGGCCCAGCAGACCCACGGGAACCCAGATCTAACCCCCGCTGAGCTCAGGCTCCATGGTTACCTCCTCAGCTACCCGCAAGCCTTGCTTCTTGATTCACTCACACAGATCCCGAACGCAGACGTCCTCTTCCCAAATCGCTGGAGGACCCTCTCCCACAGTGGGGTGCTCAGCACAGCTGAGATCTGTGAGCACACAGCATCATCCACACCTTTCTCCAGACCTCAAAACCGTTGCTTTTAGGTAGGACACCCAACCTCAGACTGTCTGGTTTGAACCAGTAGCTATTCCCCAACTCCACCCTCTGCTGGAATGGGACTGAAACAAAATGTGACCATGAGACCTCTGGCGACAGAGGTTCTCCCTCAGTCTCCCAAGGGCCCCAGCCTCCACCTCCTTGGTCCCCTTACCAGGATGGTTAGCACCAAGCTCTGAACATGTTCTTGTAGCCGGGAGGCATGTGTACAGAACAGGACCAGGTAGCTTTGTTCCACCTGAGGACATGCACGGGAAATGATATGTAGGGAATTGGCAGGATCGGAAGTCACATGTAAGGGGAAGGTCTTCAGTAAGGTCTCCCCATTGAGTCCTTGAACTCAAAGGATTTCTCCTCACCATGGATACAAGCATCCTTCCCTGTGCACTGTCCCTGTTCGCATAGTTAAGATCAGACGGACTTAACTATAGCTCAGGTAGTATGAGAGGCTGTCCTCTTAGACATCACCCCAGTCACACAAGTCACACCCAGGGTTTTCTTCCCAGCACACTCTCAGTCACGTGTCATTCTCTATAAAACTGAAACCTAGCCAGCCATGATGACAGATGCTTGTAACACCAGCACTTGTGTGGAGGCAGGAGAATCAGGAGCTGAAGTGATGGCCAGAATCAACTACATAGCAAGTTCAAGGCCAGCCTGGGCTACACGAGACCCTATTCCAAATGCCTGTTTATGAGAAGCACAGCCGGAGCAAATCAAAGATCACTTGGCCAGCGGTACCTGGACAGCAGCTGAGATGAACAAGAAGGAGACCACCAGACTCAAGTAGGGCGGGTGCCGGGAAGTGATGGCCAGCCCCGTGAAGAAGCTCAGGCCTGGACCTGAGGCTGGGGCAGAAGTGTCTGCAAAACAGGAAGGTGATACCTGGACTGGAAGAGTCAAAAACTCAGCCCCAGGAGGAGTCCTGCTCCCAGCTCCTGTCTCTCATGTTCCCACACTCTCTGCACCCTATACCTGGTCTCTCCTTCACTCCTAGGCACAGCAAACCGCCACACACAGGGTAAGTCAAAGCGACCACAGCAGCCGCGATGCAGTAGAGGCGCGCCTGCGGGAGAGGACAGTACTGCACTGAGCGTAGTGTTTCCAGACCAGGCAGGGAAGCGGGGGCACCCCTCCATGCCTTCACCCCAAGCCCGAGGATGCTGGCTTCTGCTGCTCCAGTTCGCTCGGGAGTTAGGCCTAAGAGTTTTGCTCCTCTGATGACTCTTTGCCCTGCTATGGAAGGGAACAGCTGTGCCACCAGAGGTCAGCGTGCCTACTGTTCCATCTTAGTCAGCAAATAGGCATTGCTGGTAACTTCTGTGTCCTAGATCCAGAGGTCACAATGATGACTACGTGACTCCTCATCCACAGTAAAGGCTGGGCAGTGGTGAGGCTGTGCACATCCACAGACAGCTGACAATAGTGTGATGGACGGAGACCCCGAGGAAATACAAAGAAAGTGAAAGATAAAGAGATGCTAGGGGATAATGGCCAATGAGGATGGAGGGCGGAGGGGGCGGCAGGGAGTGCAGAATGGCTTTCCCAGTCCAGTTCTGTTCTGTGTGTTCCCCTGGCTTTACCCTGGAAAACTCACTGGGCTTGACTCCAATTCTTTGCTTTCATTGCCCCGAAATTGTTGGTAATTTTGTATGGGATTTTTTTTTTTAAAGCAGGTCTTTGTGTTGCCCATGCTGGCCTATAGCTCACTATGTAGCCAAGGGTGACCTTACACTTGGGATCTGCTTGCCTCCGCCTCTTGGGTGCTGGGATTACAGCTGGGAGTCATCATTGGCTTATAAGGTGCTGAGGGGGCTTCAGATGTTCTAGGCAAAGTCTCTGGCAGCTGAATGGTAACTCAGCCCTTGTGTTTTCTCCTGTTGTTGTTTTTGTCTATTAGTGGCTTGTCATCGGCCCCCACACACTGACAGGTTTGGTATAACTCAGGTTGGCCCTAAGCTGACTTCTAACCAAAGATAGCCGTGAACTCCTGCTCCTCCCGTCTCCATCTCCCAGGGCGCCACCACGCCTCGCTTTTGCTTTTGCTGGGGCTGTTTGGTTGGTTCTGGCCACGCCTGGTGATTGAATCCATTAGTGCCTCATGTATGCTTGTCAAGTGCCCTACACTGAGCTACATGGTCTGTGTCCTCTCTCTGTCTGTCTGTCTCTCCCTCCTTCCCGCCCTCCCTTTCTTCCAGACAGGCTTGGTGGAGAACCTGATAGGTGTTAGGGCTTATGAGTTCGGCTAGAGAGGTAGGGAAAGGATGAGTAGTGAGCCCAACCCAAGGAAGAACCGACAGAAGAGCATCCCCGGAGGAAGGAGTTGACCCCGCAGTGGGGCTCCTGCGTTCCTCGGACACTTACTACATCTGGGGACACAGCAGTACTCCCGGCGAGCACAGGATCCTCACACCTCCGAGACCCATGGGCACTGGACACGAGGAGCCCATGGACAGTGGCTCCCATCAGTGTCCCTGCCATCTCCATGGTCATCCCTGGAGACAAAGCATGTACAAAGTAGCATGGCGAGCTGCAGGATCTGGGAGACAGCAGCTTCCGAGTGAACACAGAATTGGACTCACGGTATGCAGTGGCAGAGTCTCGCTCCCTGGGGCTGGGGGTGAGGATCATAGTGAGCGCTGTGTAGGGTACCTGGAAGAACTGGCATGGCCCCTCAGAGCTTAGAGTGGCCTCCACCACCTATACTGTCACTCAAGGTCTGTGTCTCCTTCCCCAGCCACTTCGCTATGCAAAAACCAGCAGCCACTTTATCCCATGCCAAAGCATCCGAATCTCAAAGCGAAGGGCTGAGAAGCAAGGCCCTGAGCAGCAATATTGTTAGTGACAGGTTTCCAAGCACTGATGGGCAGCCCAGAGCAATGAAGTCAACCTACAATACCCTTACTCTGAATAGAAATTTTATCTGGCAGTGGGGTTCACCAGAACCAGGCCTAGGAGGGGCAGTCACACACTTACCGTAGACAGGGCCTGGTACAGGCAGTAGAAGGTGGCATACCAGAGCCCACGCAGGCTGGTGAACGGGGGCAGAAACCACAGGAAGAAGTAGGCCAGTGCGATTAAGGGCATGCAGCCCAGCGCCCTATAGAAGCGCAACTAAGGAATGGTGCCTACAGCACAGGGGCACCAAGGACCCAACAGGAACAACTTCACCCTGTTTCTGCCCCTTGAGGGGGCCCTGGAGCTCTGGAGACAGAGGGAAGCGAAGGTAATGGAAAGAGGGACATTCACTGTTGGGACTCTGGCCAGGGCCCTTAGGGGTGCCGTTCACTGTATTCAGGACAGTGGAGAACTGGGGTTCACTTAGTGCTGCAGCATTTGGCCTGCACATATAAGGCACTGTTTGCTTTCCTGGAGCACAAGCATGTTACTTTTCCTCCAGGGCCTTCCAGCCCAGTTCCACCATGGGAGCCATCCTGCGCCCCCTGATGAGGGACAGACAATCCCTAAGCGTGTCTCTGGAGTACCGTGAGACTCATTCTGACCTAACTCATCTCCTGCACCACACAGGCTTGTCTTCTAACCATCCAAGGTATCACCTAAGAAACCGGCTGTGACGGTGACGCAGGGCCAGGGGAGGGGTCGGGGGTCTAAGCACCAAGGGGCTGCTCACCAAGGCATTAGCCGCCCAGCCCTTGTCCTTCTGCTTTTGTTGATGAAGAAGCCAGCCACGGGGTCTGCAACCGCCCCAGACACCTTTCCTCCAAACAAGGCAAGGGACACCTGGGCGGCGGGGATCTGAAATCATCGAGAGGAGAAAGTCAAGGCTCCATGAAGTCAGAGAACACAGTTAGGCCGGGCGGTGGTGGCGCATGCCTTTAATCCCAGCACTCGGGAGGCAGAGGCAGGCGGATCTCTGTGAGTTCGAGGCCAGCCTGGTCTACAAAGGGAGTTCCAGGACAGGCTCCAAAGCTACAGAGAAACCCTGTCTCGAAAAACAAACAAACAAACAAACAAACAAAAAAAGAACACAGTCAGGCTTGCTTGCCCGTGGAAAAGGCTCCTGCCCAGGACATGATTCCAGAAAGCTCTGAGGGACATGGAGCTGGTGAGGAGAGGGGAAAGCCGATGGCTGTGCACAGCTATTCTATCACTATTTATTAGTTTGCCTTTTGGTTTTGAGGTAGAACAGTGGTTCTCAACCTGTGGGTCACAGGGGTTCCATATCCAATATTTACATTATGATTCTTAACAGTGGCAAAATTACAGTTATGAGGGAGCACCGAAATAATTTTATGGCTGGGGGTCACCATAACATGGGAAACTGTATTAAAGGTTGCAGCATTAGGAAGGTTGAGAGCCAGTGAGAGTTTTGAGACAGGGTCTCATGTAGCCAAGGCTGGCCTCAAACTAGCCATGCTGCCAAGAGGGTGGGATTGAACTCCTGAGCCTCCTGCCTCTCTACTGGAATGCTGGGATTACAAGTGTCTGTCACCACACCTGATTATTTTCTCATTTTCCTAGCACAAGCAGGACGTAATGAGTATCCTTAAAGAGTTTTCCTTCTATGGCCCTTTTAAATGTTGTTACCAAGCTTGGGTCAAAGGACGACCTACCAAAACCAAAGTGACAGCATGGGCGGAGAGGAGGTAGAAAGACCAGGGGAGCTGCCCACACTCACCTGCGCCACATCGAGTAGGAAGAGCTGCAGGTAGAAGGCTGAGGCGCTGGAGGCCACCTGGTTGGGGACTCCACCAATGCCATAGCACACCTTCGTACAGACTGAGAGGCGACCGGCTCTGCTGTCCTGGGGGAGACACGGGAACTAACCCCTATTCCTAGAGACACGAACCAGCGCTCCGCACCCCAGTGACTTTCATAAACATCCTATATTCCCTGGTGACTCGAGGGCTCATTAGCAACCTCAGCCTCATTTTGACCCCAGATCACCCTATGGAGAAGTGAGAGGGAGAATTAAGAAACAGGATTCTAAATCTTGACTTCTACACCATTCCAGGGGGAAGTTCTTCCTTGCATTCCGTCCCCATGCTTCCTGCCACAGTCACTTTCTTTCCGTGTCAGGGGAGCTGTGGGCCCTATGTAATCTTGAACAAATCCCTTTATGTTTCTAGGCTGCTTTTTCCTCATCGGATGCAATCTTCCTGCTAACTTGACAAGGTTGTTAGGATGAGTGAACACGACAGTGGCTCTGAGAATCTATCGTTCAATGTTTGGGTTTATTTTACATTTATTTGTGTGTGTGTGTGTGTGTGTGTGTGAGAGAGAGAGAGAGAGAGAGAGAGAGAGAGAGAGAGAGAGAGAGAGAGAGCATGGTGTGGAGGTCACAGTATGCTCTCTCTTTCCACCATGGGGACCCTAGGTAACAGACTCAGCTCATCAGGCTTGGTGGCAGGTATCTTTAGCCACTCAGCCATCCAATGTTTGCGACTTTTGCAAGCCCCTGGCATCAGCTATGATGGGGGTGTGTACACCATAGACACCAGCAACCTTTACCCCTTTCTTTTGGAAAGACTGTATCGACCCAGCAGTATGAGAGAATAGTCTAAGAGCCTGGAACATGGAATCACAGCCCCTCGGCCATCCAGCCGAGTCATGAACATTTGATCGCCAGCTCACAGTCCCATGGTCTAAACACAGGTCCTTGCTGCCGTCCCACTGTGACAGCTCCAAACCATTTGCCACAGGGCATTAAATAACACTGACGTTCGCTCAGCCACTCAGGCCACCACCTTGTCATCCTTGGTTCCTCTTTTCCAATTCCCCTGTCAGGCGAGCTTCCTAAGTGGCTCCCCTGCCGCTAGTCCACTCCCCCTGCTGCAGCCAGTGCTCTTTGAAGAAAGGAATTAGACTAGGTCTGCTCTCCGCTTAAAACCAATAACTTGTCTGTCTTTATTGTCTAGTAAAAACCCAAGTCCTGGAAATGGCCGGTAGGAGCTCACTTTACTCCCACTCCCTCCCTCTCTTCAAATAGCCTTCTTAGTGGGAGTTTCTTATCATTCAAACCCTTTGACTGCTGCTTCCTCGGGGTCTTTGTGTATACTTTGTGTGTATACACACATATTGTTTTCTCTAGAAGGTTCTTCTGTGTCTTTCAAGAATTTCAAGAATTGATTGCTTGCCATTTAAATGTTTCTTCCTCAGAGGCATTCCCTCCCTGACAGCTCAGGTCTCTGAATTGGCCAGAGTGTCTGGAATACTCACATAAGCTGAGAGCATAAATTTCTAACTCACTATGGGGCCTCTACTACCTAGGTGATCAGTCGGGGCTTAGTATGCTTTTAAAGCAATAAGTGACCAGGAGGACATTGTAAAGTGTTCTGTGATCAATAATGCTAGGAACCTGTTTTTCCTCCTTTGCCTGGGGACAGGAATGGGGTGGAAAGGAACTGGGACTCTGCCTTTCTCAGTATCTTGAGGGCACCACAGGCAGGCTGCGAGGAAGGGAAGGTCTTCCCAGATAAGGTTTATCACACACTTCACACAAGCTTCCTACCCCAGGAGAAAAAGCATTCTCAGGGTTGGGTGCATACTTTTTTGACATCTGTGTGAATCTTATTGCAACTTCTGGAAAAGCTTAGTTGGCAGAACCCAGTGTCAGTGGATTCTCGTCCCATAATGAGTCTCTAGTTTCCCCTACATGGGCCTATGGAGGTTTTAAATAACAGAGGGCCAGCCAAACAAATTCTGGCAGAAACTGAGGTGAGCCAGTCCTGCAGTCTTTGGAATGGTCATTTGGTCACCTAACCCCTTCAGCCCATGAAATCTACATTTTACAAACCAACCAACCGGCTGTGACCTAGAAAAGGCGCTTAGCAAAGTGCAGATCTATACACCTCAGAGTATCAGGATAATTGACACACTGGAGGGAGCTTCATGGCAGTCTCAGTTTCTTTCCTCTGTCTCCCTTCCTTCCATCCTTCCTTTCTTTATCTTTGCTGATCACACCACCCCAATACTCTGAATTTTCCTGGAAAATGCGAGTCCCCAGAGGGTCTCCTACTCCACCCTGCCCCCAGCATAGGAGTCTTACCACGCTGGACAAACCCTCTGCCCCTAGGCTCTATCTCTACTCCTCTGCTTTTCTGATTAAGACTCTTCATGTCTTCCCAGAACCTCATGGAATCTTGCTGCCTCATCCAGGAACTGGGACTACAGGCACACGGAGGCACCAGGGGTCTCCCCATTAAGGAATGCCGTTTTTCTTTTGCTGAGTTGCCTGACAGTAAACCCTGAATGGAGATAAGGGGTGGAGGTGGTAGTCTACTGAAGCCGCAGAAAAAACTTGCAGTGGAACTGGGGTGGCCCCGTCTCAGCTCTACTCACGAAGAAAACACAGAGGGCCTAAGAACACCTTGGGGTCCCATTTGCCCACCCTCCACACCTCCAAAGCCCCCACCTGGGCACACGGGGGGAAGCCCAGCCTTCTAAGTACTTGGGCAGCACCAGGATTTTTAGAGGGAGGCAGTTTGGAGAAGGGAGGCCAGGACTGAAGAGGCCTCCAGGAGGACCTGCAGTGGTCTAGGATCAGGACGCTAAGATACCTGACTGATCCTTCCTTCCTGCCTACTTGTTGCTTCATGTCAGGGCTCCGGGTGCCATTCTGTTTTCTCTGGGGTGTCCCAGTGGCAGCAAACTCTGTACTCCGTTCAACATCTGGATAAAGGGCAGTGGCAGGTGCCTCTCTTCCCTGCCCTTGGGAGAGCCCAGCAGCCCCCCTTTTCCCTCTCGCCCTCCTGAAGCTCACCGAGTCTGCCTCCTCGGTGTGAGGATCTGCGACTGGAGCCTGGGTGGGTTCCTGAGAAAACGACATCGCTGCAGCCGCAGGGCTTCTCTGCTCTGGAACGTTGCAGCGCTCTGGGCTGGCGCGGGAAGGGTGGGTCAGGCAAAGTGGGCGCGGCCCAGGGCGAGTAGGCAGCCGGCCCCTGGGCCCCTGGGGAACCCCTGCGGTCTTTGCAGGACCTTGAAGGAAGCTTCCTATTCTCCTCTCCTAGGAGGAGCTCCTCAATCCTCACTCGCCAGGGAAAATCGGCCAACTCCTCAGGGACGATTTTCTTTTCTTGGCAGTAGTGTTGTAGGCAGGAACCCTCAGCTAACACCCCCCGCCTTGTGAAAACCAGCAAACAAATTTATTCTTTAAATGAAGCAATACGCTCCACTTGCTCAAATTAAATTATAGCTGAGTGGGCTTTCAGCTTGAAGTACATATTTCCCAGGCTTTCCTATAGGTAACTACTGGTAGGTACATCTGTGCAACTAAGTGTGGCAGGAACAATATCCCAGAAGTGCTTTTAAACGCAAAGGACCACACTGTATAAAACTCCTTGTCAAAATATTGTGAGGAGCATGCCTTGTATTATCAGACTACAGAAACAATGGACCCCAATAATTAGTCAGCCCCACCCCCAACAACACAACAAAAACAAACAAAACAAAAAACTCCTGGGCACCCAGTGAAGGAACTTAGAGAAAGATCTCCTCCACCTGGGCAGGACTGCTGAGTTCCACTCCCTCTTGGAAATGGACGTGGTAGTCTTTGGAGCCTCTGGTTGCTCTCCTCAACGTGCCCATACTGAATACTATTCCACTATTCACTGGACTCCGAGTTAGTGTATAGACTGCTCAACCCAGTTTGTTGGGGGCACAGGCCATGTGACTTTAAGTTCAGCAACAACAGGTGCAATGTACGTATTAGGATACAAGCACAAGCTGTTCTATAGCAAAATGACAAACTTTTTGCTGCAAATAATCACGTGGCAAGGAAATCATATTCTTCCAAGTGTGGGGGATAACACTCACAAATTATAAAGCATTTATATTGGGATATACAAATAACTCTCTTAATAGCAGAAAAAAAAAGTCTCATTTTAAAATGCATAAGTTCCTGAGAAAACGACATCACTGCACGGCTTCTCTGCTCTGAATGTCGCAGTGCAGTGCGCTGGGCAAGCGTGGTGGTGCCTTTAATCCTAGCAGAAGCAGGCAGATCTCTGTGAGTTCAAGGCCAGCCTGGTCTACAGAGCAAGTTCTAGGACGGACTCCAAATCTATAGAAAAATCTTGTCTCGAAAAACAAACAAACAAGACACATAGAATGATATTCTAAAGCTGTACAGATGAACTATAAGGACATAAAAACATGCTCATGCTGCTGTAGCTGTGCACATTTCTTAGAGACAGGATTTAATACACTTAAAGATTACCTTTAGAATATCTGTATAACTTTCTATGAGTATGAATTATGAGTATGAGTTGTCTGTGCCAAAACAATTTAAAACAGATGACAAAGAACAAGTTATAAATGTAATGAGTAAGCCACTTCTGAGGATCCAGTGTGATAAGCAAATTTTATCGAAGTGTTGTTCTTTGGCAAAGAACAAAGGAGTATACTAATAAGGCTCCACACTATGTCAAAAGAACAAATGCAACCGTTGTATTGGTACTAAAATATCACTTTTTCACATTTCTGAGCATCAACTGAAAATAACATTGGCTAAAGAAAGGGCATCTAATAAATAATATTCTCAAACTGAATGACTTAGTCAGATAAAAAATGACAAAAGCATTCACATGTACTACTTTATAACAAGTGTAAACTATCTAACAGATCCTTTCAACAAACAGCATTTTATCTTTAAGAGAACAGTTCATTTAACCATTAGCAAAATACCACATCAAAAACATATTAAGGCACTAAAATAAATACACACATACTGCATTGTCAATGTATGCAAACATCATGAGGTGTACAGAATAAGTCATGATAAGGTAAAATTACTTTAGCTTTGAGAGTGCATAGTAATCTAGCTGGCAGATTAGGATGTATAAATCAGATAGGTACTCCTGTATGTCCATCTTATCTGCAAGATAACTGGTGACAGATTTGAAGCAATGAATTGGGTCAAATTGCATCCCACTCCTAAGATGGCCACTTATTTCAAGTTTTGCTTCCCTTCCAACTTATTCTTCCAAAGTCAACCTGTAGTAAGGAGTCTAGCAGCTTCACAGCTTTGGATTTTCAAGTAAAAAGCTTTATCAGATGATTATCTTTAAGAACACCATTCACACTAACATTTTCACAGTTTAGAGAAACACAAGTTATTGCTGATGACTGTCCTTCCCATTGGAATGTCTTCCCAGCATGTACTGCATAGGATACATAAGAAAGCCCTGTGGCTTCCGGTTAATGACAAACTGGAAAATCTACAAAGGAGGCTTTTCTTTGTCTTTCTTTTCTTTTTTTGTAGAGACAGGAGAAACATTCTTGTGAGAGGCCTTTCATAAAAATATAAAGAACTGCTTATCATTTACAATGATGCAGATAGAAAGGTTTCATGATAGGCCCATAGGAAACATTTCCTTAGATTCTTGACATATCAACAACCCAAAGTTTTTGCCTGTATCCAAAAGTCAAAATCATCGATTTTACTACCCTCTTTTTTGTTAAGAACATAATTATTTGTTTTACTAAAGAGGGCTCCGTGTAAACGTTATCGACAATAAATATTTAATTTTCTATTACATACCTGCTAAATTCCTAGGTAAAAGACAAAATGAAAATGCTCTCCTTCATCCTCTATTCTACACAACCCACCCAGAAGGTGAAGGTGTGGCATATGGAAGGCTGGGAACTAGGGAGGACAGCGTCTTTAAATAAGACTGCAAAAGAAAGGGCTGAGCCAGGACGTCCAGTTACGTACATGGGTTCCGCCTTGTAATTCCTGAGTTCAAACCTCAGTCACTCTTTCCCAGCCCCACCTCATCTGTGATGGGAGGCAAGGCACAGGCTACATCATGAGTGCTTCAGCTCTAAGGGGGCAGCCTGAGTAAACTTGGGAAGAGGATAATGCTAAGTGAGGTCTACACACTGCATGTCGGGAGTCAGCCACGGTCTGTGGTGAAGTATACAGGATGGATTCTCACAGGACTCAGGCCTAGCACCGATTCCTGCAGCATTACACTAAATCCCTACAAACCACTCAGGACTCCACCTGGAGCTGGCGCCATGTCCAACACAGCGAACCATGTTCGTGGGAGGTGGCAGGCACAGACTTTGTCTTAAAACAGTCTTATTCTGTAGCCCAAGCTGGCCTTGACCTCATGGTAATCCTCCAGCATCAGTCTCCTAAGTGCTATGATCACAGATGTGGGCTATCATGTTTGGCCACATATTGGCCCTTTGGAAATTACTCCAAATAATCCTTTGTCAGAATGTCTTTCCTAATCATACAGTGTTATATGCTTCTTTCTTATTCTCACAGATGAAAAGAGCTGTCCTCTAGAGGCTGTAAGGTAAGTGATCCTACAACACAGAGAATGGAAAAACAGGTGAGAATCATTCATCTTCACTGTTAGACAAACTTTTGGAAAAATATACAATGCCACCTTTCTCAATAAGTCTTTTCATGCTTTGGAAATTATTTAATTTTTTAAAAAATTAAGGTGTATATGTTTTTTTTCTTGTGTGTATCACTTGAGCGCAGTGCCCAGAGGTCAGAAGAGGGAGCTGGATGCCTTGAAACAGGAGCTAGAGTGGTTTCGAGTTGCCATGTGGGTGTTGGGAATCAAACCCAGATCCATAGCAAAAGCAGCCAGTGCTCTTAACTGGGTGTGAAAGTTGTTATTGTTAAGAGACAGGGCTTCACAGTGCTGCTCAGGCTCACATGACCCTCCTCTCTCAGGAGGTGTGGGGGCATGAGTGAGAGCTAGAGCATGCACAACTGTGGGCAGCTACCAAGTTATTTTTAAGTGAGTAAACACTTGAAAACTTTGAGGATTCTTTCCCCTCGCTAGACAGGGTTCCTCTATATGGTCCTGGCTGTCCTGGAACTCACTCTGTAGAACAGGCTGGCCTTGAACTCAGAGATCTGCCTGTGGCTGCCTCCTAAGTACTGAAATTAAAGGTGTTCACTACCACCACCTGGCCAAACTTTGAGTTTTTAATAATTATATACATATAACTCACATAAAAGGTTTATAGACTATATCCAGCACCTATGGATATTGCTGCTGGTATGGGCCACTTAATCTTTGCTACAATGTTTACCTCTCTTGTTTTTATTGATTTTTATTTATATTTTAATTACTTAAAGTTTAATTCAACAGATTATTTGAAAATAGTTTATTTCTAAACATGAGATTTAATCTGAAAATCAAAACATAATTGGTTTTAGTTAAAAGCATAAAATACTAAGCATGTTTTCCTATAATGCCTACACAGGTTTACTGTGATATGAAGTAGAAAATGTGTACTTTATGTGAATTTAAGAAATGTTCACAAATTTATACTATGACAAAATAGATTCTAGTTGAGTGTCAAATGGATGGCTAATTACAAATGTTAGCTAAAAATAAATTCCTAGTTTTGGGGGAGAAAGTAGGAAGAGAATGAACTATGGATCTTGGGGAATTGTTTGTGTGTGCTTTTACACCGCAGTATGGGGGTCCTCTTTAACGACTCAACACACCTCATCCTCTTCAGTGACAGCCTACGTGAGCTCCCGCCCTAATCCCTGATGAAGAGGATCACTCTCCTCGAGCAATTCCATATTACACAGGTGAAGGCCTGCTGAAGGCGGGGCCCGCATCACACCCCGGGACGGTGGTGAGCTGGCCAGGCCGCCCTACCTGGAAACATGGCTTCACTCACGCAGCGCCTTCATCCTGCACCTGAGCCAGGGCACTGTACAGATTAATTTCTTCCAGGACCACACAGACTTATCCTGTGCCCCCTGATGGCAATGGCGACCTACACTGACAAGAACAGGGACTTCCACACACACCGCCCGAGCCTTCTGGAGGAATATGGCTGCTG